ATCGTAACTATCCGAAATAAAGCTCATGCCAATGGCCTAAGTGGTCACCTTTAATATTAAAAAAAAAAAAAAAAAACAAAGATAAAAAAAGCAAAAAAATAGAGATAAGTAGTTCTAATAGGAACCACCTATGAGAAAAAGTATACTATTATAATCTGTGTGAGGCTAAAAAATTATATAACAAATACAACATCTGTATATCTCTACTGTAAGACTTTGCCTTAATATATTAGTTCCTTTCTGACTCTATGACCAAATCTGGATAAGTCTTTAACCAAGAACTAGTCAGTGGGCCTTGTCACGTAGAGTAGCAATATATTTATTTCTAAAAAAAACACGTGGTTGCAATCTACTGGGTTTACTGAATTTGGAAAGAGTAAACAATGCCGATTTTATGATGGGAGTAAGCTGTTTTGCCCACTTTTTCTGAAAATTTTGAAAAATAAACAAGTGAGTAATAGTGTAGAAGATAGCTCTTGTACTCTTTTTAAAGAAGCATATATTTTTTTTCCAAAAGTAGTAAAACATAGAAAGCCAAGTTTACTGCTGCTTTTCTTGTTGGTAGGTGATAAACCCTGAACTTGTTAGCAAGTAGCATATGAGAACTACTTCTAAATAACAAATGCCATTTCCATAATAAGTAATAAGCTCTGAGCCTGTTAACAGATGGCATATGAGAACTATCTCTAAATAACAGGTGCCAGTTTATAGTTTTTATCAGTCTTATGCTTTTCTTTTCTACCATAGTCTACTGTTTTTTAGAAAAAAAGTTTGTTGTATTTTTTGGTACAAGGGATCGTTGGAAAGAGTTGATGAATTTATTGTTTTATTACAAGTATATAAAGCTTATATATTGTTATTAGTTTATATTTTGATAGTTTTTATATTTTAATCTACTTGTCTAAGCTTCAAAAATATATGTTGTATATCTTTTGTAAATTCCAAATCATTATATATTAAAATAAAATTCTAAATCTATTTGATTTGTTAGAAGGTTCAAATTCAACTTAATAGGTAGATTTAATCTTAACTTATTAAAACAACCTGTTATTTAATTGAATATGAGTTGGGTATTCTAAAAATTACATATAGTGCTATTGAAATTCTTTAGAACCTGACAATTTCCTAAATTGGATAATTTTCTCTATATATCAATATGTGTAAAAAGCTTTACAAGCCCATTTGATATCACAAAATTGGCAATATAAAAATATAGTTGCCAAGATAAATTCACTGCAAATGTAAAAAAAGTGAAATTACTTTATAGAAGTAACTGCCATTCTAACAGCCATGCTCTAATAATCTAATTGGAATAAAGTCAATATGTATGAATAAATATTTTTTATAATATATTGTGTACTAAAATTGAATATCGATATTGCTAAATAGATCCGAAATTAAACTACATTTTCTTTATTCTGTAATTTGAGTTCATATTTAAAATCTACTTAAGTGGATTCCATATTTAACAAGATTCTATTCGACATATAGATGTTATAAAATTGTTGAAATTGCTGAATTGGTAAAACCGATTTCACCAGTACCTCTCTTCTTATGACGTAGCAAGTTTTATATTTTTGTCGACATCTCTTATACCTGACCATGCAGTCAATTGGTCATCTGCGACAGCTTCGGGGGTGCCTGCACGTACGTACGTACATACATACATACAGTACCGGGTACTTAACTGTTAACAGTTAACTTCAAATGCTCAATCCCCGGACAATCCCCAAAATAAATCGAAATTTTAATTAAGAATCTACCTTCTGCGGACTAATTAAAAATGTTCTTCGTGAAATTTTACCGTTAGATACATGAATTCTCCTAACCTAAACTCTAATTATAATTTTTTTACAGGGTGGATTTTGGCGTGTCACGTGTCGATGTTGCCGGCATTATCCCAAAATTTGGAGGGCCCAATAAAATATCCATTTGACAATAATCGAACCATTACAAATTTTTTTTGTCATTTGGATGTTTTAATCTTACATCACTGATTATTATATGAATACGCGACACGATCAAAATGGTATTTATACTAAATCTCGCGCCTTGTTATGAGTTGGTTGATTGTTCACAGTAGTAGTCCGATTTTTTCTTCTCGTTAAGATCTAGGTTTCGCGTGGCTCCCAGCTCAGTTTAACTAAGGCGTTCATTTTATCTTTTTATTTATGGGCATTTTTTTTGAACTTTATATTTCTTTTTATCTTTCAACAAATGTAAAATGTGAAACGATAATATTTTGCCATAATTTTTTAATTTTTTAATTTTAGTCGATCTCCAAGAATTCGAAAATGTTAAATTTGATTAATTATCGACTCCGCATAACTCTCGCGGACTCGCGCGTTTTAACAGGTCAAATGCTCGCCTTTGATAAGCATATGAATCTTGTGCTAGCTGATTGTGAAGAATTTAGAAAGATCAAACCGAAAAGTGGGTCAAAAGTACCTCAGGGTCAACCTGAGCAAGAGGAAAAAAGAACATTAGGTTTAGTTATTTTAAGGGGTGAAACTATTGTTAGCTTAAGCGTAGAAGGTCCTCCACCGCCAAGTGCTGACGATTCAAAAACAAAATTAGCCCAGGTACATTATAATAATATTTACAAAGTCAATGATCATTTTTTAAACAGTTATTTAACTTTCTTGCTTAAAATTAGCTTCCAGGTGGTCCAGGTATAGGTCGTCCAGCTGGTAGAGGATTACCCGGTGCCCCGCAAGGTGTTGCACCAGCAGGTGATATACAAATTCTATTTAATCAATTAAAAATCATTATTATTATTATTTTTTTTAGATTTAATTTAATTATAAGTCATTATTACCTCATTTTTCAGGTCTCACTGGACCCGTTCGTGGTGTAGGTGGTCCAGCTCCCGGAATGATGCAACCTAGAGGTGGAGCTCCCGCTGCTGCTGCTGCTCCCATATCATATGGTCGTCCAATGATTCCTGGTCAAGTACCTCCAGGGATGACTCCTAGACCAGGAATGCCCCCAGTTATGGGAGGTGTACCCCCAGGTTTTAGAGGCGGAATGGGTCCACCACCTGGAATGCCACCTGTAATGGGTGCAATGCCACCAGGTTTTAGGGGAGGTGCTCCGCCACCAGGAATAAGGCCACCACCAATGGGAATGGTATGTACATTTATTAATTCTGCAATTATTTAAATCTCTTTTGCTAATATAAATATTTCTTTAAACAACTAGCCCGGTGGGCCTCCTCCATTTCCATCCGGAGGGCGTGGTATACCTCCAAAGTATGCGCATTTCCTTATTATTTAATATTTTTCGTGATCGTGAACGTTTGATAATTTATTCTATTTATTTTAGTTTCCCCGTCCCTGGTCAAGCACCACCTCAAGGTTTTAGACCTCCTCCACAAATGCGTCCACCACCTGGCCCAGGTCAAGGCCGTGGTCAGTAGGATTTCTACTTTATTTGGGAAACCCCAAATATGTGTCCTATTTTTTGTCGATAGTGTTAAACTCAAAAAAAAATAATAATAATAACAAAATTTGTTAAAGCAATGACATGAATTATTAAACTTCATTATTTTTATTTTAAAATCAAAAAAAAAAATCGAAAAACCTGAGTGATTTAGCAACTAGTTAGATCTAATAGTTATATCGAATTTATACACAATAAACGAAAAATATTATAAATGCTAAAGCTTTTATACAATAAAACTTTGAAACGTGATTAATAAACTTATTGACTAAGTTTTATTGAAAAAGCCTTTAGTAAAAGTTGATTTCTTATATAACTCTTCACTCTTTATTATTAGATCTCACAAGAGAGTAGTATTCTTATTTTTATAATCAAAATTTGTATAATAAACAAAAGCATAAAAAAATTAACAAAACTAAAAATTTAAAAAAAATTTTTATGTTTATATGTATATATACTATATATATATATATATATAGTATAAAATTTTATACGTACTATATAAATATTTTTATTTAAGAAGCTAAAAATACAGTAATTATACGTATTAGTAAAATTTTGATATTATCAAAAATTAGATATGGTAATTTAGTACGTAAAGTAGTTTAGTTACTATCATTAAATACGTATGTATATTAAAAGTTTGAATTTTATTAGTATTTATTTTTAAAAAACTACTCGTGTTGTGGTTTATTATTTTTTATCAATTAGTTAAAGTTGTATTAGCAAAACTAATAGTTTAAAATATTTATACAATATATATAATATTATACAAAAAAATACGAACAAGTATTAAAGTAATATAAAGACAAGATCTTATACAGTATATAACTCTGGTATTACACGAATATTTCTAGAACCTAATTAACAAAAATCTGTTATCATAATGCAAAAAATATTATTTAAACTATATATTTTTGGTGAATTTAGACTCTAGATCTTGGATTACAAGTGCTTGAAAGAGATAATAACTTACTAACTATACTTAATGGTCCAACAGCATATTATTTTTGTTTATATTGTAACTATTACAAAAATAAACAATAGAATATGGATAAAATATAGATTAATAGTCAAAACACACAAGATACATATAGTAAATATAGTAATATATTTAAAAAATATTTTAAATACTGTATTAATATTTAATAATATAATTAGAAAAACTTAAAGATTATTAAAGCTTGTTACTATATATTTTTACAATCCAATTACTATATATATAACAAATTATATTTAATGTTACATATTGTTAATATTTTTTTTGAAGGATTTTTTTATAAATTAATATCCAAATTTTAATTTTAAAAGCAAAATTAAAATTATTACAACTACAATTATTAAATATTAGTATTTATAATTAAATTAAAGATACTATAAAATTTATTAAACCCTAGGAGATAGTAATAAAAGTATTTAAAGATAAAATAATTGATAAATATATTAAACAAGAAACAGTATGAACTATACTCAAAGACCTTGGCAAAAAGGCAAGATGAGTAAATCCTGGATCGCTTATATAGATAGGTTTCTCAAAGTACCAAAACCATATCAGAAAAGTAATAACTACATGGGTATAGGCTAGATGGCTTATCTTAATCTCCATAAAGAAGAATGCAGTACTCCAAGACTCAAATTTAATAGTGCTCTACAAGAATACTGTAGCCATTATTTACAAGAGCAAAACTAGAAGCAATTGCAACTCTATTGCTTATTATCTCAAGAAAAAGCAAAATTAGAGTAAATACAGATAGTGCAAATACAATTTGGCTTATTGAACAAAATAAAGAAGATTTGTAAACAAGAGAAAAACTCAAATTAAATAACAGAATAATACTTGAAATAATATATAAATATATTGTTTCTAAAGAGATTAAAGTTAGTTTTATGAAAGTCAAGACTTATAGTGGAGTAAAAAAAAATAAAAAAGTAGATAGGCTTGCTAATAGAGGCCAAGATAGTAAATGCATAATCTTTTTTGAGTTTGGTCTGACTAAAGGCATTAGGGTAAACCCAGTGTGAAAGAGTTACATAGTAGACTAACTAGTAAGAAAAGTGATAGATGTGATAACCAATACAATTTATAATATAGAGTAGAAGAATTTTATAGAAAAAGAAAGCAATTTTGAGAATAGCAAATCAGCAAAGGACTATGAGTAGAAAGAAATATGGAGCTTTATAAATAATGTAAAAGGTTGAAAATATCTAAACACAAAGTAGAGCAATATATAGACTTTCTGAGCCAAAGCTTTAAACCAAATTTGCTCATATTAACTTATTTATATACCAGAAACCCAGAAGTATATAAAACCAATATCTGTATAGCATATTTGAAAGAGCTAGAAACTCAAGATTATCTCACAACATGCGAGATTTATGAGAAACTCTGGGAAAAACTTGAAAAAAAGGTAGTCAAAGAATTTTAAAAAACAAAAAACAAAAGAAAAATTAAAGAAAGCCTTCTGAGATTAGTGAAATACTTGCAAGAACTCATAAAAAACTTTTTTAGTAAAAAAAAGGACACAAAGCTAGAAAAAAGAAAAAGACTTATTTAAGAAATTGTAAACAAGAGTGTGAGTAAAAATAAGAAAATTGATCAAAGAAAACTGCTTAGAATTTTTTATAAGAAGTTTTATAAACAAATTTGAAAGTTTTAGTGTAAAGTCATCATGGAGTGGGAAGAAAGGTAGAAAATCATACACAAAGATAAAAAAAAATATAAAAAAGGCCAAGAGACAAGAGTAAAGAAAAAAAAAAAAACTCAAAAAAAACATGAGAAGAGAATTTGAAAGTATTAAAAGCTACACAAGAGGTGATGAAAAAAATTATATAAGAAAAAAGCCCAAAGAGTTTATAACAAAGCAAAGTTTTATGTTGTGAATTTCATTAAAAGAGTGGTTAGACCCCTTTGAACTTTATTAACAAGACCAAGTAAAAATGAATAATAGTAATTTTGACAAGCTAACAATAAGCTTTTGTCAATTTTGCAGATAAACTCTAGTGAGTTAGAGTTCTGTAAAGAAGAAAACATGTTGTTAAAGCAGATTATACTTAAATACCTTTAGTAACCAAGTAAGTCTTTATTGTGCAAGAAGTGGTAATAACTAGAAGTAATTTTAGCTTACAAATACATAAATATATATAGTATTTCTTAAATAATAAAAGCAAGATTGCCAAAAAAAATAAAAAATAAAAAAAATAAAATCTATTAAAATAAATTTTTAATTTTATAATCCAAAAACTATAAAAAGTAAATATAAATAAACTGCTCTAATAGAATTAGCAAAAAACAATTATTAAAAAAATTTCTAGTATCAAATTACCTATTAGAATTATATAGTCAAATAATTAAAAAATTATAATAAAATTTTTTTAGTTTATATAAATTAATATATAGTAAAAATAGATTAACAAATACAATTATAAATAAATTTAAAATTAATATATAAAATTAGGTATCTATATTTTGCTAGCTTACTTTACTAAAAAAAAATTATACAAAAAGATATTTATCAATATAAAAAATAATTTTTTATATATATATTTTGGCATATTATATATATATATATATATATTTTTGGCAATCCTGCTTTTATTATTCAAGAGATACATATTATTTATACAAAAGTGTTTAGCTACAGCTTTTAACCTTCCTTATTCTCAATAAAAGCTCACCTGGCTACTCTAAAATACCCAAATATAATCTGCTATAGCAACTTTTTTCCTTACTTCTGGCTTTCAACTCACTAAAAGTATACTCATCAGATTCTAGAATGGTAGTTGTTAGCCTTGTCAAGACTGCCTACTTTCTCTTCTAATTTTTTCTTCTTCTCAAAAAGCACGAGACAAAAGGGAGGAATTTTATAAAAAGAAATATAACAAAAATAAAATAAAAAAAAAAAACCAGAAAAAAAAGCAAGAAAAAAACAATACAGATATTGAAAAAAAAAACAAAAAAAAAACAAAACAGTCTTTTACACTATTATAATTTGTACAAAGCTTTAAAAAATTATATAACAAATACAATATTTGTATATCTCAACTATAAAGCTTTATCTTAATATATAAATTTCTTTTCAATTATATGTTTATCTTCAAATATTCCTTTAACCAAGGGTCTAAACTCGTGGAGTAGCACCATATCTGTTGGTAAACAAAACACATGGTTGCAACTTACTAGATCATCTGAATTTGAAAGAGATAAACAATGCAGATCTTTTGATAGGGGTAAGCTATTTTGCCTACTTTTTACAAAAATTTTGAAAATAAGCAAGTGGGTAATAGTGTAGAAGATAGCTCTGATACTTTTTTTAAGAGTATATATTTTTTTCTAAAAGTAAAAAAATGTAAAAAGCCAAGTTAATTGCTGATTTTCTTGTTAATAGATGATAAACTCTAAACTTGTTAGCAAGTAGCATATAAGAACTACTTTTAAATAACAAATACTGTTTTCACAATAAGTGATAAGCTCTAAGCCTGTTAGCAGATAGCATATAAGAACTATCTCTAAATAACAAGTGCCAGTTTATAGTTTTTATTAGTCTTATACTTTTCTTTTCTACCATAGTCTACTGTTTTTTTGAAAAAAATTTTGTTGTGTTTTTTTGATACAAGTGAACATCAGAAAGAGTTGGGCTATTATATTTTAGCTTTTATATAAATATTAAAATTATATAAAAAGTTTAACATTATGATATTTTTCAACTTCTAGTTTAAAAAAAAAATTATTAATATATAAATTATTAGTTGTCACACCTTCAAATAGCAGATCTAAAGTTCGAATTCCACAAATGATATTTTTAAAAAATAATCTTGTAATATAGTGATAGTCATTATCAATCAGTTGGGTTCCAGAATCTGTAATTTTGGTAACACCATGTTTATATGGAAGTTTTGGTATATAAAAGGCCAAGAAAATGTAATGATTGAAACCTGTTTGGGAAGTCCCAAGTTAGAAGTAGCAGTGCACCTTTGATAATGCTACAGGAAAACCAAATTTGGAACCAGAAACTGAAATTGGAGAACTAAGTGACTAGGTTCTTAAGTGGGGGAATATACTAGCTGAACTATTGGCTTATCACTAGAGAAAAAAAACTTTTGCTCCAGAAGCATATATCAAGGAGAAGGAGACTGTAAGGCATCTAATACCTAGATAGACCAACCCTTCTAGGTTGCTAGGTAGAAGTAAAAAAAGAACTAATAAGGAATCTAAAAAAGAAAAAAGTTGGAATATAGATACCAAAGTTATTGTAAACCTTGAAAATATATAATAGGAACTAATTAGAAAGGTTGTGGCTTGAGATATGGATTAGGTTATAACAATATCTAAAAAGATAGCTTAAGATATAAACCTA